TGAGACTTCCGATGAACACCTCCTAGTTCTCAAGAAAAGGCTTATACACACTGTAAATACAGTTCTCATGGCAGCAATGACTAATGATAATAAAAGCCTTCACTTGCTAGTATTTGTCCACTCCCCTGCGTGCGTCACGTTGATGTGTGTGCGGGCATGTGTGTAAAGAACTGTTTAAACATTTACTGTGCGCAGGAAAGCTGTTGTAAAGTGAGGAGATTATGGGGCACGTTGGATGTCATAAACAGACCAAGTCAGTGAGGGTAAAGTGGGATGAGTTTAAGTACAAGATCAACTGAGAAAATTTAAACTGGATGCGTGGAAAGAACCAGTGATGTCAGACTCTTGTGTGGATGTGCTAAAATTTGGCGCCCTGCTTCTCCAAGGGCCCTTTGGGAAGCAGCCGGGAGGCCCACTATGAATTTGACCCATAGTTAAGTGGAGAGCAGGCTGTGGAAGTGAGTGGGCTACAAGCTCCGAAGTGGATCATCTACACCCCAGCCAGCCTGCCACGGTTGGCATCTCTGTTCTGCTTCCACCGGGGCTCTGTACTGCGGTGGCTCTGACCCCACAGCTCACAGTGTAGCCGCAGTTCTGGCGGGACAAGGGAGCAGGTGGCCCACCGTTCCTGCAGCAACCCTCTCCTAGTGCATCTTCTGGCAAAAGCCTTGGGCTCAGAGGAGAATCGTGTTGTGTAAAGTTCTAACCCTGAAACCAGATGCTGTTACTATAGAGACAGGGGACATGATACGGTGGGAGGCCTCACGGGGCAGGAGGGTGGTGGGAGGGCGAGTGAGGCAAAGGGAAAGGCTAGCACACCCAGGGACCTTCGACCTTTAGCAGCGCTGTGACGGCACAGCCTTGCATTCTGAAACTTGTGTGCTGGCGGCCTGCCACCTGCTGACTGGCTGAGTGGCAGCTGCTTGCGCGGGGTGGACTGGCCGGGGAGCACGTTGGCACTTGGCTCAGGCTCCAGGGGTGGGAACTCAGAGGGGTGACTGGAGATGGGTGCTGAAGACCCAATGGCTGACAGTTTTGCATACATGTTTCTCGTGCCGGGCTTAAGTCGCCCTGACAGGCCAGCTCCTTGATGAGGACCGGCTGGTGAAAGTGGGTCTGTTTGGCAGCAGATTTGACATGTGTTACAGTTAAATCATTTTGGTGTCCTGGAGTAGTGGAGAATAAGAAAAACCCCGCTTTGGGTGTGCGCTTCTGTAGACGCGGTACAACTTCTCCTGTCTGAGACCCTGAGGAAGAAAGGCAGTATTTGTCCTGAGTGGATTTTATACTGACGGGTGTGACCCTTATCCCCGTGATGCTGGTGAGAAGCTTCCAAATCTATTCTGAACTTTGCCTCATGCTGGTGATGTGAGCGGCCCAGGGAGCTTTTTGGAAGCATACTCCTTCCCTTCTTTGTTTTCAGCAAATGCAGGGCATGCAAAAGGAAAGTTTTAAGGATGGGCTTGGGAGCTTGATTTGGGAGTGGAGGAGTTTATTTCTTCCTATTGATAGAAGGGGGGGACTAGTTGGGTCAGATGGTCATTTAAAAAGATATCTCTGTCTTGCTAATAATAGCAAGCAACTGCTGAGAGGATTTGGGGTGGGGAGAGGACACACTCCCAAATAATTGACACTTGTGGTGTGAAGGTGGAAAAAAAACCAAACAAAGTAACAACTTGTAAGATCCCTGTAGCTTGTGCAGAAGCCCAGGTGTGCCAGGCTGGACTTGCTCTGGAGTGGGAGTGAGGGCTGCTTTGGGAAAAGGCCATTGTGAGTGTACGGGTTTTCTATTTTCAAATCACCTCACTCACCCCTTTTTGCTTCCTTTAGGGAAGAGGCTTCTTTAAGATGCTCAGCATTGTCTGTCAGAAAGAAGAAGTTTCTAATTACTTGCTATGTATAGTCTTGGAGGGAATGTGAAATATGCATCAAAGAGCCAAGGAATGCTCCAATCATTATTCTTGCTCTAACTCAGACGGAACACAGTGACAGTGCTTCAGTTAGGTTGCATAGTCTTCACAGTCCAGGAAGAGGGCTCTTAACTTTTCTACTATCCCCTCTCATTGTTGCTGTTTTTTTCTTTTTTCCTCCCTTTTAGTGGTTGCATGCACTTTTGGGAACGACTTGGGCATGGACACTAGACATTTTATTTAGAAAGTGTGAGAAAAGACAGCAAAAGATTTTAGGACCAGCTTGGTTAATGGGAGGGTGCAGAGATTGTGTTGGATCCTGGAGGGTGACAGGACTGGAAAGAGTTAGTTCTGAGAAGAACTGTGAGCTAAACTGCTCTTTGTTTTCCAAAGGGGAGGTGGTACATTAAAGTACGTGCAGTTGAACAGGGCTCCAGGATTTATTATGCTTCTGGGTCTTTTAAGAAAAGTTTCTCATAAAACTGTCTTCCTTATCTGTGTCTACAAATGTCATGTAATGGATGGGTTCTTCCTTCGCATGTCTTGCCTCAATGCTGGGGTAGTCTTTGGGAAGGTGGATGTGACTGTCCTGCTAATCATGGTATCTCCAGTGCCTTGGTGTGTGCCTGACACACAGTGGGCACTCAGTAAATATGTACAGAATGAATGAATGGAGGACGATAGGGAAGAGAAGAGGAACTGTTGAATACCCTCCCTGTGTCTACCACCGTGCATGCCATGTTTCGTGTGCTTTGGTCGTGGTCACTGATGCTCTCCATATTGCCAAATACAATTTTTTACTTCTATTTCTTCATCTTTTCAGCCACTCAGTAGCAGTGCTCTCCTTTTTTTGTGACTTCCCTGACTTTGCTCTTACCTGGTTTTCTTCTTATGTCATTGTTTTTGTTTATCTGTTCTGTTTGCAAATGTTGGCGTGCCTCAGCACTTGATCTTAGGTCTACCCCTCAATTTCTATATTTTCTTCCTGGCTGATCTCATCTAGGAATAACTTCAGGTACCGACTTTATGCATTGATTCTCCAATTTTACCTCCAGCAGGAGCTCCTGAGTGCCAGACTCAGACACTTACTTGTGTACCTGACAGCTCCTTTTTCATGCACAATAAGCATCTCATTCTTAAAGTGGCCAAGTAGAACTCTTGATTCCTTCCCAACAACCTATTTCTCCCATCGTCTTCCCTGAGCTCTTGTGATAGTTTCCTAGTTTCTCTTGTCCCTGACTGTCCATTTTCACATAGCAACCAGGATGATCCTTTAAAAAGGTAGAACAGCTTAAGTCACTTTCCATCTTCAAACTCTTTAGTGACTCCCGTAACACTTAAAATTCGAACTCCTTTCTGTGGTCTTTGACCTGTCTCCTCTGTGTAGCCATACTGACCTTATTTCTGTTCTTGGAACATGCTTAATTTGTTCCCACCTTAGGGTCTTCCTCTTGCTTGGAATGCTCTGCCCACAGACTGCTGGTTCCTTTCTAGCATTCTTGTCTCTGCTCAAATGTCATTTTCCTGGAAGCCTCATCTGGACAACTCTATGTCAAATAGGCTTTGCCTCATTTTATTTTCCAAAAAGCACTTAATACTGTCTGAGATCACCTTGTTCATCTATTTGTTATTACTATCTTAGGACAGAGGTATTGCTCTCTCTCTCTCTCTGAAGAGTACCAGAAACATAGCAGGCACTAAATATGTGCTGAATCAGTGAATATGATGTATCATTTAACGTTCAGGGGAACCTGAGGCTTAGAGGGGTTGGCAAATAACTAGACTTCTCAAGACTTCGAGGCATTTTCTTTTTCCACTATAATCCTGGTTACTGACCCATATCCTGTTTGCATTTAGCTTTCTATTTTTAGTCTGAGTACAGAGAAGGGAAAAGGTATATATCATATGAGCTAATGTACATAAAGTCCATATCCCTGAAAGAAGAAATCCTGCAATTGGCCAAAGGTAATGAGTTTCTTAATAGTATTGTGTACCAATGACTGTTTAGGGTCAAAAGAAAAGAAGGAAAGCAGGAAGAAAAGACACTTAACATTAATTAAATGAAGTATATGCTAGGTCCGGCAGTGAGCGCTGTTAGATATGTTACCTCATTTGAATCTCAAAGCAATCAATGCAAGGATGTTATTATTATCCCAATCATATAGATGGAAAAACTGAGACTCAAAAAAGTTAAATACTTGGTTCCCAGTGGCACAACTGCTAAGTGACAGGACTAGATTTTTAAAACCTAGGGCTACCTGAGACCAGATTTCTGACTTTTTATGCTAAGATGATTGTTTTGTGAGACAGATATGCTCCTAAAATAGTAGGGACAAAAAATATAAATTCCGTGCACATCCACATAGATTATCACAAATATCTGAAGCACAAGAATAAGTTATACAGACAATATGGAAAACAGACCTACAATATCCCATGCCTGAGCATATAATTGGATGAATAGAATACAGAATGAACATTTGGTTCCCTGGCAGGGCTCATGTACGGTATGACAGAGAGCAGCTGTCCCCAGAGAAAGTTCTTTGTTTCTAGACTGGTACTACACAAGCAGCATTTGAGCAGTTCAGGATTTCTTTCTGCTTTCGCTATAAATAGAGTTCATGGAATTCTCTATATCAAAGTTAATGCAATGAGAAGGAGCCACAGAGTATGGAAATAAACCTTAACTCATTCTATAAACTAGAAGTATGTTTGGCATCGGGAGACCATAAAAACGCTGTCATTCCTTGGATGGATTCTGAGGTCTTATTTAGCATATGAAATTGCAGAGTAGATCCTATTATGTAAGGAGACAGGAGGACAGCATAACGTGGTTACAAAATGAAGAACTTTGTGCCCTTCAGGGAAGAGTTAACAGGGCAGATATACATAGTGAAAGACGTGTGATCAGAATGTGGAAAACGAGTGAATGGGTGGTATGTATATGTGCCTATTGCCGAAACCGGGTTGCTGGATAATCCTCAGATGTCAGATTTCCGTAAGGCCAACATGTGACTCAAAGCTTGCCACTCAACAGAGAATACTGGGCTGTGCTGGTATTAAGAGGCTGGCTGGAAGCTAGGCTCCCACTGTGCACTAGCCTAACTCCCTGTCGCTCTCTGCGTGTGGGTGGGTGTGCATGTGTGTGTGTGCGAGGGTATACATTTTATGCAGTGGGTGTTTAAAGAGCTAAGCACCGAAGCTGGATTTCCACAAACGATCATCACGAGCACTCCAGACACATCAAACTTCCTCTCTTGGTATTTTTTTTTTTTGTGTGTGCTGTCATCCTTATTTTTTATTTAAACCCCCAAAGGGGAGAGCCCCGAACATCCAGCCTTCAGGATTGGGATTGTTTTCTCTTACCTGTCTATGTGGGTGTCCTCTCAAGGTTAGAACTGAAGCTATGTGGGACCGGCAAATTGTCAAGCACCAGATGAGAGGAGCTGCGTGAAGCAGAGCAGATACCCAAGGAAGAGTGACTCTGTCCTGCTAACATGAACAGCAGCTTGCAGGTTAACCTGCCCAGAAGCTGGGCTGCTTCAAGTGGCTCGCTCCGGGAGAAGTCTGAGCATTCTTTTTTTCTCTTCTATTACTATAGGATGGAGGATGAAGCTGTCCTGGACAGAGGGGCTTCCTTCCTTAAGCATGTGTGTGATGAAGAAGAAGTAGAAGGTGAGCTTTGTGGGTCTGGGAAAGTGTTTATTCACATGCATATGTCTCTGTAGATAATAGCGTTCCTGCATTTTGTGTATCTTACATTTTTAGAGGTAAACACCAAACCTTTTCTATGGAGTTTCATTAGTCTCCACATTTTGCTTCAACGCAGAAAGTAATCTCAAGAACTTCATTGGACCATCAGGATCTGCATCAGTGTGGATCTTGCCTGGTTTATTTTAAAAAGTCTTATTTTAAAGCAGGTGCCTATGATGGCTATGCCTCTCCATCGTAAATATTTTACAAGACAATACTAACTACCTTCCAATGACTGATTCAAGGAAGTTGCTAGATTTACATAAATGTATTGACTGCATCTTATAATTTTCTGTCTTGTAGCTTGCAGAGTAAAGAAACAGATGTTACAGGAGAACGATACCATTGTTATGAGAAAAATGAGTCTAAGTTGAGGATATTAAGAGTGGTCATCATGGATAAGTGTCAGTTAGGAAGAGATGGACAAGCATTTTTTTTTTACTTAAGAAACCTCCAGAACCTCTTTTGCTAATGTTCCCCAGTGCCTGTTAAAAACCAAAGAGTTATATTTTGCCTATTAAAAACCAAAGAGTTATATTTTGCACACACTTTTAGTGTGTACTCCCTTCTCTTGTCTCTTGACTGATCAATTATGTGGGCATAATGCTATTTATTTGATAGTGAGAGTGCAAGGCTTAATTAATATTTCTTAAAGTAATTATGTGAAGGCATCATAGAGATAGAGTTTATTATTGAGATTTACGGTGAGATTTACTGAAGAATCAGGGTTATAGGAAGTACTCAAAGTTAACTGAAACTTGCAGGTGAACCATGTGATCATGCCCATCCTTTTAAAGTTACCCGAGAGACAATTCATATGTGTTTTGGAGCCTCTAATCTAACTGGTATCATTTGGTAAGTGTTTAGTACCTACTGAAAACATGGGCTAGAGGGTGGGTTGGGAAAAAGAGAGTAGGTAGTGTGTGTTCTGGAGCGAATCTTCAGGCAGTCTGAACATCAGATCCCGGGCAAGTGATGCTTCTGTGCCACCTGGAACAGTTTGAATAGTGTGGCTGTTAGGTTGTTTCTCACGTTTCTTTAGGAAGTTTCTTCTGCCCATGTAATATTTACTGGAATGGCGCCCCCACCCTGACTTCCCACATTTGTGCTCTTGAGACTGACTAATAAGAATTTGATGTCTAAGTTTCTTAGGAAAACGGAAACTACAGTATTTTCTTTCATATTGTTTTATGGGTTCCTTGCATTTTTTTACAATATGACATGGGAAAATAGCAAGTTGGTGGAAGCAAATAGTAAAATTTTGTCTTAAGACTCGTGGAAACCATGTTAAATCTTTATTGTAATGACTCTGTCACTGTTCCAATGTCAAAGAGAAGATAAAAATGCTAAAGTTATAGCACATGGATATAAAAAATTATGTAAGTTTGAGCAAATAGCCTATAGTTGTAGGACAAAGTAGAAAAAACCTTGAGAATGAGATACACTCTGTGTGTGTTTTCCTTTGAGAATAATGTTCTAGCTAAGTTTACAAGAGATGTAAATTGCTTCTTGAGTTTATAAATTCTGTAGGATTGATGACACTCTACTGCAATAGGATATTTTACACAGTTTCTTAAGGCTTTGACTAAGAAATCTATTTCCTGAAGTATTTCCCTTGATCAAGCACAAAATTAAGACAATAATATAAACGAATAGCATACAAATCTATAGCCAGGTTTCTTTAAGGAGAAACAAAAAGACAACTAAAGGTGGTAGAAACATCTGTACAATTCAAGAAATGTGTTGGCTTTGTGATGATTAAACTTGCCACATGGATTTTGTGTATTTTCACATTCTTACAAGACCTCTACTTTAAGGACTGTCTTTCATGTTGATTGGCATGTGAGCTGATTACACTTCTTTTAAGGCATGCTTAGTTAGTTGCTGAACCCTGAGTCTCTGTGGGATGATTGCTTATGGTGTTATTATTTGGTGGGTAACTTTCACAAGTGCAAGCCCTCTTGCAGTGGAAGTCTTTAAACTACAGTGAATTCATTTCTGGTTTGGTTCTCCCAATTGATCCTCCCTTTTTTTTCAGGTGGCTTCATTGGCGGGGATGTGAGGACTTAAATTTCATAGTACCTCCAGGTGGTAGTATAAAAAAGCAGAAATGGACATGAGTTTGATCGCACATCTATGGCTCCATGCCAAGATCTCTGATAAGGAGTCACATTTTGAGTGGGAATGTTTTCTTAAAGTATGTGAGTCCATCTCACATTTTTAATTGCATAGAAAAGGGTGTATTTGAAGGAAAGCAACCTGTTGTCTCTATTATGAAGTAGTTGAGTTTCTGGTACATATATGGCAGAAGTAAAATGCTCTAGTTTTAAGGATTAGGAATTCAAAGGGCAAGGAGCCAGAACAGTTTACTTTTGTATCATCAATTACATTTCGTTTTATCCAAGTAGTAATTTCTCTTGCTTCTTTTTTTTTTGAGTTGGAGTCTCACTCTGTCGCCCAGACTGGAATGCAGTGGCCGCTCCTGACCACCGCAGCCTCGACCTGCTGGGCTCCTGCGATCCTTCCGCCTCAGCCTTCCAAGGAACTGGAACTACAGGCGCACGCTACCACGCCTGGCTAATTTTTTAATTTTTTGTAGAGATGAGGTCTCGCCTGCCCAGGCGGATCTCAAACCCGCGGGCTCAGGCAATCCACTCACCTCAGCCTCCCAAGGCGCGGGATTACAGGCTGAGCCTGCTTCTAAGATAAACATTGAAATATATCACAGCACACTTGGCAAAAGTGAACTTAAAGCTTTGTTTTTTACAGTAATCTGCACAAATAAGATGTACTCCCAATAAGTGATTATCAAGGTGATCAAGGTTCAGCACCTCTCATTGCTTTAAAATGTTCGTGCTTTAAAAATACTTCTTAGGTTCCCCTGATTTGGGTGATCGGATTCAGCTCAGCCTGAAGGCAAGAAGAGCTGGCTGCTTTCTCCTAGTTCCTTCTAACACTGTAGTTCTGAGGAGAGAGAGACTGAGATTTCAAACCACGCCCTCAGTTCACCTTGTTCAACTTTACTCTCAGTGGGTGGCATGCTACTTAATCCACGTTCTAAAAACTCAATAGAAAACCGTCAACTGCAAAACTCACTAAGAATAGAGTGAGTCAGAAGAGGAGTCATCTTCTGTTTAAGTAATGAATTTATCTATGTGGTATATATTTAAAGACCTAAACCTCATTGTCACATAATTTTCCTCATGCGTTAATGGTTTAGACAGATACACTTTCAGAAGGAAACCAAGTGTCCATTGTAATCTTGAAAATAAACAGAAGCTTTTATATCTTCTGTTCTTACATTGGATGCCTTATAAACCATACAGGTATATGGTTTTATAAAGTTAACATTTTTGACAGGGAGTGGTTACTGTGGATAAACTTACTTAAAAATGTCAGCATATCAGATATTTTATTTGTTTCTAGCTCCTGCCCAGGTATGTTCACACATCCACAGAATTGGTCTGTAGATGACAAATTGATGTTACCAGAATGACCCAGCAATGTTGATCACAAGAAACAACCAGTCAGTTTTCATTACCAACATAGATGGGGGTAATTGTCAGATTATGTCAGGTGAATTAAAGTTGAGATAGGAAGAAAGAGTCCCAGGTAGCTTCTTTCAAACAAAAGGAAATCCTGTGGATGTTTTATTCTAAAAACTCAATGAGGATTTTTGGATCTGTGCGATATAAACAGATTACTTAATATTCTCATATTTCGCAATAGGGGGAAAAGGGCAAACTCCACCTTATCCTCTGAGATAAGGCTTTGGCTCTGTGAGGCTAGGTAACTCCCAGCAGGCCTTGGCAGCCCTCACTTCACGAGGAGGGGCCTCTTCTTAACATCAAGTTCAACCAACAATACAGAAAGCATACCGTTCGGCAAGGCAGTACTGGCTGAAATGCTGCTCCAGTTGTGAAGTTTGATCAGTGCCCTCTTTAAGCTATTGTGGTATATTGTGGTGGTCTTCCTCTTCAGATGCCTTGGGGATCTGGAGAGTTATTCTTCTATTTGAACGGATGGAAGGATACTTCCTAGTGCGCTCAGTTTCGAATGGAAGAGGGAGACCACTTTAATTTTCTCAAAAATAATCCTGCAAGTTCAATGCATTTTCAACGATATTCTTCCTTTCCTGAGTGCAGAAGGAAGTGTGCTCCCATGTGAGAGAGCACTGTTGAAAATGCATGGACTTTGCAGGATTATCTTTGAGAAAATTAAAGTAAAAAAATAGGACAGGATCTGGGACAGAGTAGATATTCACTAATTGTTGTTGTTGTGTTGTGTTGTTGAGACAAGGTCTCACTCTGTCGCGTAGACTGGAGTACAGTGGCATGATCCCAGCTTACTGCAACCTCTACCTCCTGGGCTCAGGTGATCTGTCCTCCCTCCTCAGCCTCTCGAGTAGCTGGGACTACAGGCGCAAAGATTATTGATATTTTTTATCATTTGTATATTTTATACTGATAAGAAAAAGAAGCCCCTAAAACACCTCTACTTATCCACTTTCATTCTTCTATTTTGTCTTTTAAAGAGAGAGGTTAAAATGATGAAACAGCAACTTTTGTGTTTTTGGAGGTCAGGACCTCAACATTTTGCAGGCATGAAATCAAAATGACTTTAACCTAGTTTTCACTAGGGGACATTATGATGATCTATTCATGTGTATTGGAGGGGGTTCTGTTCTAAAGAAAAAGTGGGGCCTGGTAGACATTTATTCATAATTACAGTGGTGACAAACGTAATGGCAAAGAATGAGTGAATGAAAATCTATCAGATGGATAGAAAGGGAGGGGCCGAGTCAGGGCTGGGCTATTCTGAGCACTGGATCTAAGTGTCCGGTTGCATTTTGCTGACCTCTTCTCTGCTGTTCACTCCAATTGCTGCTCAGAAAGAGTGTGTACAGAGGAAACACTTGGGCA